GCATGACGTCAAGATTATGATGAATAAGATTCGCCTTCCAATATGGTAGATCCCAAAATATACTGCGTTTTGTCCACTTATGTGTACTTCCGTACGCAAAAGTCGTGCCGTGCGGGTTCTCAGCAACAGTTGGAAAGTTCTACACACGCTCCCAAATTTGATCGTCGGTCAACCTCAATGGTGGACACGTTCTTTCAGTCCTATTCTTGGTGAACTCTTTCTTATTCCTTCTGAAAGGATGACTTGGCGGTAAAAATTGTCTGTGACAGTCAAAATAGCTGGGCTTCTTTCCATGTTTTAATCTAAATGACTTTGACCTCTCCAAACATATCGGACATCCTAAGATCCCAGCTGTACTCCATCCAGATAACATTCCGTAAGCTGGAAAGTCATTTATCGTCCAAAGAAGGGCAGCCTTCATTACAAATGTTTGATCGGCAGAAACGTCATACGTAGGGACACCTTGAACCCATAGCCGTTGTAACTCCTCAATCAATAGTTGCATATAAACATCTATCAACTTTTTCGGATTTTGCGGCCCTGTCACGATCAATGTCAAAAACATATAAGGTGTCTTCATGCACATACCAGGTGGAAGATTGTACGGCGTTAAGATAACTGGCCAACATGAATAACTTTTTCCAGTTTTCCCAAATGGAGCAAATCCATCGGCATAGAGACCTAACCTGATGTTCCGAGGCTCCATCCCAAACTCAGGGTATGTTCTATCAAAATGTTGCCATGCCTCCGCATCTGAAGGATGACACATTAGACCCTCTTCTATTTCATGATTTGCATGCCAAGTCATGTGTTCAGCTGTGGCTTTAAACACATAAAGCCTTTGCAATCTGGGGATTAAGGGCAGATAAAACATTTGCTTGCATGGTCTACACTTCTGATTACGACTCGGCCTCCTGTTAATCTTGTACCTAGGTTGGCTACAGAATTTGCAAGATTCTGCATTTTCATCATCTCTCCAATATATCATACAACCCCTACTACATACATCAATCCTTACAACCGGAAGACCTAAGTTATCCACTAGCTTTTTCATATCATAAAAATCACTTGGCATGATGTTATCACGAGGCAATGATTCCCACATTACTTCAACAAAAGAGTTGAAGCAATCCACAGACACATTATGCTCTGCCTTAATATTTAATAGTCGGGCTGTCACCGATAACTTAGTGTGGTCCTCACAACCTGCCCATAAAGGTTCATCTGCTGCTTTCAACACATCCCGGAACTGATTAGATTGAAAAGTTTCATTATAGACATTCTCATCAAAACCCGTTACTCCTATATCTTCCAATTGTGAAGCATGACTAGTACCCACTTGTTCACGTGTAGGAGTAAAACTAGTACTTGCATGATTTGATTCTGTGACAAAATTATAACTAGCTGCATCAATCACCATCCTCTCGTATGGGTTCAATTGCTCATAATAGCCACATTCTTCCCTAACTGAAAATTGGTCACTTCTTCCATATCCTTCATCAGATATAAATGGTTCACCATGGGAAGTCCAATTATAATAGTTCGGACTAAACCCAAATATAGTAAGATGTTCTCTAACTTGATCACATACAAGAAATTTACCATTACCGCACTTTTTACACGAACACCTTAACTTATTTCCATCCATGAACTCATATTTACTACTAGCAAAGTCTAAAAATAGTTCCAACCCAGTACGAAACTCATCTGTCAATCCTTGACGTCCAGGTAAGTTCTTATTATACATCCAAGCCCTTTCTCTTTGCATTGTGTCTGTATTAAAATAAAAAATTTATGGTAAAATATTTAAAATATCATATCTATTGTTCTTAATTAAAACCATAAAATTTTGGAAATTATAATTTTTGTTATTCACGAAACAATTAATATGAAATTGCAAAAATAAAAAAAATTATCATGTAAAGAAGACTTACCCAAATATTTGACTGAAATATTGGTAGGAGAAAGTGGTCAATTTGATGAGAATTGCAACGTCCACTTGGATTGCGAGACCTTCAATTAGACACATACTCAAAAAGAATAATCACTTAAGAATCATTTTTTAATAATTTTTAATGTGTGATGGAAACGGAATTCATCCCTCGCAAATTTGCGACGGAAACTATTTCCGTCGCAAAACGGCGTGGCCGTTCGGCCTCATCCAAAGGCCGGCGAGGTGTCGCCGGTCGTTAAACCGGTGATGCATATACGAAAAAAAAAACAAACATAAACATATATAAAATAAAAGAAATTACAATTCAACGATGAATAGTCACGAAGCTAGCTATGATACTTACCGGTACAAAAGTTTCACCGAGATTAATATGTGCGTACGCGGATTTTGCTGATTTTAGACATATGAAAGAGGGAGAAAAGCGAGAGAGAAAAGCGAGAGAGAGCGAGAGAAAGAGATAGGGTTGGAATATCACGAGCTAATAAACTACAAATTTGCGACGGTTTTTTTTTCCGTCAGAAATTTGCGACCAAAATTTTGCGACGGATTTATTTTCCGTTGCAAATTTGCGACGAACTTCTTTCCGTCGCAAATTTGCGACGGATTTTGCGACAGTTTTTTTTTCTGTCGGAAATTTGCGACGAACTTTTTTCCATTGCAAATTTGCGATAGAATTAGCGACGGTTTTTTATTTCAGTCGCAAATTTGCGACAAAAATTTGCGACGGATAAAAATTCCGTCGCAAATTTCCGACGGATTTTTTATCCGTCGCAAATTTGCGACGGAAATAAACCGTCGCTAATTTGCGACGGAAAATATAATCCGTCGCAAATTTCGTCGCAAATTTCCGACGGAAAATTTCCGTCGCAAATTACATATTTTTTTGTAGTGAATGTTTGAGGAAATCAAGAGGCGTTTTTATTAGGATCATCCATCTGATTTATCTCTTTAGTGTCCACGTAATGATCAGATAGGCCAATCACGTAACGAGAGAGGTCAATCTATGTTCTCTCTTTTCTATTATGAAGAACAAGAAAGCGCTAAAGACTTGAACATTGAAATATTCAGTATTAGTATTCACTCTCTTTCCACTAGTAAAAGTTTTTTTTCTTTTACAATTTCATAACAAAACTCCCAAGAGAAATAATCCAATTTGGTAGGTATTTACACCCTCTAATATTTAGTGTTTTTCTATTTTAATTTGGATAGTAATATGTAGTGTATTAGAACAGTGAATATAATTAACGGGTATAATTTAATAAATTCCAAGATTACACACTTTGGGTTCTAGAGAGAGAGAGAGAGAGAGAGAGAGAGAGAGAGAGAGAGAGAGCTCCGTATTTGGTAGCATCAATTGCTAGTAGACTCGGGTGAATGGAGATGATCTTTAAATTGGCACACGTACAATTGGTTGTTGTTCAAACCAAAATATTTTACTGTCTGTGATGGTTTCCAATATTTCAAATTTTAAGGGGCGCGTTTGTTTTGGATTAACCAAAAGCAAGTAGCAACGGTTCTATTTTCCTGTCATTACTTCAAACTATTAATCAAATTCCATAAACAAAAAAAGTTTATCTTCTTTTACAATTTCACCACCAAACTTCCGAAAGAAACAATTTAATTTAATATGTATTTACACCCTCTAATATTTAGGGTGTCTTTTTTTTTGGGGTCATAAATGTTTGATAAAGGGTCGTCCACCTGATTTATCTCTTTGGCGTCCACGTAATGAGAGAGGCCAATCTCCATTCTCTCTTTTCAATTTTGGAGAACAAGAGAGCGCTAGAGACTCAACCATTGAAATATTCAGTATTCACTCTTTTTCCACAAGTAAAAGTTAATCTTCTTTTACAATTTCATCACAAAACTTCCAAAATAAATAATCTAATTTGGTGGGTATTTACACCCTCTAATATTTAGGGCTTGTCTTTTTTTTTTTTTTGGTCATAAATGTTTGAGAAAATCAAGAGGTATTTTTGTTAGGGTCATCTATCTAATTTATCTCTTTGGTGTCCACGTAACGAGAGAGGCCAATCTCCAATCTCTTTTTTCTGTTTTAGAGAACAAAAGAGCCCTGGAGACTCGAACATCGAAATATTCGGTGTCAATATTCACTCTCTTTCCACAAGTAAAAGTTTTTTTTTTCTTTTATAATTTCGTCTCAAAACTCCCAAGAGAAATAATCCAATTTGGTAGGTATTTACACCCTCTAATAGTTAGTGTTTTTTCTATTTTAAATTGGATTTTAATTCGTGATGTATTAGAACATTAACGGGTATGATTTAATAAATTCCAAGATTACGCACTTTGGTTGGAGAGAGAGAGAGAGAGAGAGAGAGATACCGTCTTTGGCATCATCAAATGATACTGGGGTGAATGGAGATGATCTTTAAATTGGCATGCATACAATTGGCTGTTGTTCAAACCAAAGTTTTTTACCGTCTGTGATGGTTTTTAATATTTCAAATTTTAGGGGGCGTGTTTGTTTAGGATTGAGCAAAAGTAAGCAGAAACAGATCTATTTTCCTGTCGATACTTCAAATATTAATCAAATTCCATAAATAAAAAATGGAAAGATCATATGCGAATGTACGTGCCCCCAATTGCATAGTGTGAAATTTTCAAGTGTTCCGGATTGACAAAAAGTAAAAACTTGTGCATCCCGAGATTTAGGTAAAACGAAATCGAAAGGCAATATCGAGTAAACTAATAATTTCAATTTGAAATACGAAGTATGTCAAGTTTTCGGAATTTAAGTGCAAGAGATTGTAAAAGATCAGAAGACGATGATGCGTATGGGGGGTTCTAATCTCCTTTTACTTTCGTAGTTATCTCAGTGAATCCTGACTTATTAATAAATTAATAACTTATATAAGTATGTACGAAACTGACTACTATGCGAGCACATAAAATGGTGTAAGATGCTATCAACGTCATGATAAATTCAGTCCCGTAATAAGTCGGTCTGCACAAGAAGTAGCGCTGACGTTCCGCTCAAAGAAGCCACAGCCGTCGAAGAGGACCGAGATCAGGCAAGATAAGTCGATGAAAACAAAACATAGAATGATCTTTCATTAAACAGCAACACGTCCGAACAATGACACTTGACTCTGCCCCAGTCGCCGCACCATGGCCACGGCCATGGCGGACTGCGGGACTCGACGGCTAAAAAGCAACTACGACTCCATACGACAAAGGAAACAAAGAAATGAAACAACACGACAGTCTCTCGAGCTGAATATTGCTCGAAACAACATAAACCCCAAAGCACTTTTATTCGTCCAATACTTACTTACTACTAATGACTCTGGAGTCTCTATACGACTATTTCTCTTCGACTTCCTCATCTTTCTCGTCCTCGCTCCAACAGCACTTCTGGACTTCCTCGTCTTTCTCGTCCTCGCTCCAACAGCACTTCAGGATGGACCTCGGAGATCCACAGGCTCCTGCTGCTGCTCGAGCGAAGTTCTTGTACATGATAGAACCACCCTTTCCAAGGGCCTCGCAACTCGTCTCTCCGGCACTGTACCCCTTCAGGTCGAGAGGGAACCTCGACACCAGATCCTCACCGGCTAATTCGGAATGGAGAGCCACGGAGAAGACAGTCGGTTCAAAGCAGACCAAAACCCTCTGGATCAGCTGCGACAGATTCACAGCCTTGAAATCATAGCCAACCGCCTCGAAACTGGCGTAACTGAAGCCGTCTTCTGGTGTGACATGGATGGTAGAAACTGCAGCCCCTTCGACGGCATTCATGGAGTAGCCACAGGGATCAAACTCAAAATCACAGATACCAGACTCTGGGAGAATCTTCCGAATGCCAGATTCCTCAGTCATAGATGCAGCAGAAGGCGAGTTCTCTTTGAAGAAGACAGATGCCCTTTTCTTGTCGAGACCAGTCATGCACATTTCGAGAGTGAAAACTGAATCCGAGAGGCTCATCTTCTCAGCAGAAGCAGAATAAACATGCCATTTCTCAGCCTTTTCTGGACAGCCCATCAGATACGCCTTGCTTCCATCACCAAGGTTGCCAAAGTAGGTATCAAGGACAGCTACTTCCTCCGAGAAGTTCCGATGCGGGAAATGCTGGGCACCAGGGAATATAAAGCTACCACGAGTGTACCTCACAGACTTGACAGAAAGGGACAGGGAATCAGCCAATTTGAGGATAGCTGGAATGGAAAGAAGTAATTTCGTCGTCCCGCAAGTCTTGATGATGAGTTTGTAAGGGTACACAAAGAGGCTCGACTCCGAAAGGACGTAAGAGTCCACGAAATCGTTTGACAGCGAAGAAACAATGGTGCACTCAGCTGGTGTCAGAAACTCATCCAACTGGGATTTGGTCAATGAGCGGAGACCCAATCCTTCAGGGTCAGCAAAGATTCCAGGCTCATAGAACGTCAGCTCGAGCCTCTTCTCGTAGCCTTCAAATCCGATGGCCGAAACTGGCAATGCCATCGCGACTTTCGGAAAGAAGGCGATGTACCGGTGGTTGAGAACGAGTCGCGAGTGAGAACGAGAGGATGAGAGAAGTTGAAAAGAAACAGAGACGGCAGAACTACAACTATTATGACTTGAACAAAATTGCAGAAACTAAAGGAGTGACGCCACTTCTTGGGGAATCTCAGGATGGCTTTCGCACGCACTGCATAATGAAAGGGCAGATGTCAGACATGCACTTGGCTTTAAAGCCCTAAAATCAAAGGAATATAATCTAAAAAGAAATGATTAAGGAACAATGTTACATACGTTGGAGTAAGCAGCTGATCTGAACTTCTTGATGCCACCGTGTGGACGAACGTCTTCAATGCTGTAACCTAGGGGAGCTTCGTAGAATAAGGATTTACTACTGCTAGACTTCTTCTTGCCACCTTTTGACTCCATTAGTTCATTCAGTTTTTCCTGCTCAACCAATCAGATCCACAGGTCAGTATATGTTAAGACACCAAGAAGTTCGGAAAAAGACAACCCTGAGCATCTTCCATCGAACCAAACAAACAAAGCAAGGAAGAGCTCCCGAAAACACACAGTTTGACATTCATCCACATGCACAGATGAAGGGATGCTAAAGGAAAGACAGTCTGCAATGAAAGAGACGATTCTACCATAAAAAAAAATTAATCAAAGGGGCAAACAAAAAAGGATTAAAATCGTATAAGCCCATCAACCTAGGGAAGCAGAAGTCCCAAAACAAATAACATACATAGATTACGGAGTGAGCATGCAATAGGTTCAAATTTTTCACAAATCAACGATGAACCTAGACCTATCATACCATCATCACATCAAAAGCTAGGTTCAAATTATACAACCAGGCGAGGAGCCTCCATGGCTTCTCGCCAAGCAGCAAGATGGCCAATCAAATTAACAACAGACAGCCCTAGAACGCAGAAAGGACAACCCCCAAATTCATTAGGCAACACCAAATAAATCTCTCGAGACAAACAGCATCCGGGAGCCAATCCGAACTATCTTATTACCAGATTCACAATCGCGCATGGCCAAAACAAATTGTACTTCAAAGGACACAAAACTGAAAACTGCGCAAATTTAGAATCGCAGAACATAAATCTCCATTCTTTCCAATTCGCGATACATACAAAAAAAAAATGCACACACAAATCAATTGCCATCAAAAACTAATATCATCCAATAATTATGGCCAAGACGCGAGCAAATCACAAAACCCAATCCCTAGCCCGATGCAGAAGATCTACCAACTTCCAACGCAGAAAAAAAAACACACGGAAAAAAATCCACAGAACGGAGATCCCCCGCCCATCGTCGCGCGAAACACATCGACAACATCAAATGCCACGCGATCCGTCTCGCCGGAACGGCGAACGGCGCACGAAACCGGGAAAATCCCCTCCGAAACCAGAGGAGGAGGGGGGCAGGGACATCGAACAGACAGATCACGACGACAAAAACCGGCAGATCGACCGCGAGAGCGAGACTTACAGATCTGAATCGAAGCTCGCGCGCGGCGCGCAGGGGGCGGGGGGGGGGAGAGGAGGCCGAGGGTTCGATTCGGTCGGAGATCCTCCGGGTCGGCGGCGGCGGCGGCGGCGAAACCCTAGGGGCTTCTGAGGAGAGCTAGAGAGAGAGAGGGAGGGGGGGCTAGAGAGAGAGACGGAGGCGGAGAAAGCAGAGAGAGTTTGTTGCAGAGATTGTGCGGTATCGCGCGGCCCGTGAAGAGGGGAGGGGGTGCTTTATATAGGGGGAGGGGGGGGGGCTGCTGCGCGTTCGGCGTATACGCGTTCGCGTATATTCAGGGAAGGGGGTGGGTGGGTGGGGGCGTGTATTTTTCGCGATTTATTGCTCCTTTTTTATCTTCCTTTCCTATTTTTATACTTTATGTTTTTTTAGCGATTCACTTCCTTTCCCGCCCGTTCGTGCCCTTACTGATACCTTGGGGGTCGCGATTTAATTTTTGGTTCCTGGATTTTCTCTCGACACCCTCTTTCTGCTATCCTTCGGCCAGCTGGCGTCGCGCGGTGAATTGACCGAAATGCCCCCCCGGGGAGTATGTGCTTTTAGGTCGACACGTATCTACGATGTCTGCTCACGGGACACGGACCACATTGGGGGGGGGGGGTCGTTCCCACAAGGAAATTACTTGTACGCATTTGATCCCGAATATTTGCCTGAATCGATGATAAATTGGATGATTTCTTCACGAGTACGATGGATAGATAGTTTAGACGTGTTGAAATTGCATTATCTTGGTGGATGTTGGGGTTAATTTGAATTGACGATAATAATCGACCTGAGTGAATCGTGCGATTGATACGAAAGCTCGACGATTTTTGTGGACAATGCTTCGTATCGGTACTTTTGTCCCGACCAATTTCATGGTACTTTGAGAAGCTTTTTAGATTTTTCTTTTAGTGTCTCTCTACGAACACATATACTGTTTTGTTTTAAACGTGTAGGGCATAATTCCTTTCCGTAATTATTTAATTACTTTTCTTATTTTAGCTCGGTATCTTTCTCATTTTAGAGTTATTTTGCCCATGAGAAGTTATTTATGTTATTTACATAGAAAGCGTGCCAACATAAATATTTTTCAAAAACTATTTTTATTTATCAATTGATATTGAAGTATAGTGAAAAATGACCTGACAAATCATAAAGGCAAAGGGCAAATCATTGACGTAATTTTAAATACTTTTCATTATTGATGTCCTCACTTTATTTCTCATCTTTTCTTGGTATCCGAACATCCAAAAAGCACTTCAATAATCGAGCTAATGATTATATATAAACCATATCCTTTCATTTCAGCATCGGGTGGCCAGGAGAAAAGGCATCTCGACATTCTCGAACAAAGGGCCACTGTTGAACACGACCCCGATAGATAAATGTCGTGTGACCTCGAAGATGCTAGCCAGTGGACGAAGATCGCTCCATCGAATCGACATTCCGGAGTTAAATTCCCTAAACATGGTCCGAAAAGTAACTTCCCCAAGCTCTAAAGCAGGAAAAGGGAGGAAAGCGAAAACGAAAAGGGACGTGCTGAGAAAGTCGTGGAATCGCTTTTGTCACGGGGGAATAGAACCGGGTGCGTTTTGGCCGGCGTGGGAAGGGAAAATTCAGTCATGGAATCACTTGTGGCATAAGTTTTGGTGATGTTGAATTGATGAGGTGTCAATTCCTTCATTCATCAGGTAATTTAGGAAATTTTTGAAAAAAAGAAAAGAAAAGGAGGGACATTAATATTCATATAAACAAATTTGAAATTCACAGTCTATGTAATCTTTCTTCTTCTTTTTTTCAACCCGACCCGCATCCACCGTCATTGATCTGGATAGTTGGTCAGTTTTTCAAATTTTAACTATCCATATCAATAACGGTGCGTACGAGTTGAATAACAAAAATGTGTTGCACGAGCCTGGTACCGTATAAATATCTCGATTATATTTTCTTCGACTTCGAACCAGATATATCATGTTCGTACACACGGATAAGTTTTAATTTCACAACAAACGATGACAAAAACCTTTACCAGAAGAGGGCATACAGTAGTTATTTCTCGAAGCGAAAGCCGATAAAAACACCTCGTGTAATGGCACAGTAATTCGGCGCTCCAGTCTTATCCCCCAAGGTCGATCGTCCGTCATCTATTATATGTCTAGTGTATAATTTTTAGGGCGTGAGAGTCGAAATCCACATCTGAAATTACACATCCCCACCCTTAGCTTTTCGAGAATGTGGGAATTCGAACTCCTCACCTCCCTCTTTCCAAGTAAGAAAGGTGGTTACTGAGGCAAACCCTAGTAATTGTGTATAGTTCTTTTACGCGGTACTTTATACCCTCGACGGGTTACAACTCCAAGTAATATATACGCAAGAATACATGTAAAAGTACATTATCTATGTATAATCCGTTAAAAAAAAAGGGGGGGGGGGGGAGATCATATAACTTAGTTATCTAGTCCGATACGGTCGGAAAAATAAATCGCCCTTTATCAGGAGAAAACGACAAGTCAGACCACCAAACTTTACAAGCAAATAATATATATTATAAGTAAAAGAGAATTTAGAGGCTGACATTTTTTCCCAAAAAGGAATTGAAAAAAAAGAGAAAAACGAGAAAGATGATAAGATGCCAAACGTGAGATTGAGGAACAAAGCCCCACCACCGTCGACAGTGGGGCCCCGCGCGAGCTGGCGGGTCCTTCGTCCTTCTCTTTCTTCTTTCGTTTTTGTCTCACGTGGCGGCCGCTTCGGGTCCCACGATGGCGGCTGCTGCCTCCTCTTTCTCCTGTCTCGTCTCGTCGGATTTCGCTACTTTTTCCTCTTTTCGATTTCGCTTCTGTCAATTTTTTTTATCTCCTTTTTACGGGGCGAAATATAATGACAACGTTAAATCACGACGAAAACGATGTGTCCGGTATGTTTGCGCGAGCACGAGAGTGGCCTCCCAGTCGTCTCCGGGACTTAGGTCGAGAAAAGACCTGTCGACTATCGATTCCCCCCCACACCGAAACGCACGGGTCAAAGCAAGGTCAATTAGTCCGGAGTCCCAATTTAATTCGGGGGTTGATTGATTGGTGCATCCGGGAAGCTTCTACGATACGCTCGACGGCTCGATGTGCCGTTTCTTGATGAAGTACTAAAACATAGTTAAAGGCAATGTAAAAAATTTGTCGAAAAAAAAGCGTGTATAAACTTACCGTACAAATTTGCCGATTCTTCCCCCCCGCGTGGCTTCTCAAAAAAAGTATGTACAGAGAAGTTCCATTCTTAATTTTCGTCCTCATTTTGTCCCCACATTTAAGGCTCGTGACAGACAATCGTAACGTTTCTTAAGGTGCCATTGTCGCGTAAATAAAAACTTTATTTGGTGTTTATGCCGCACTCTATATTAATTATCTTAATAAATTGAATTTATGGATGTCGAAAAATTCGTTAAATTTACCTCACTGGAAAAAAAAAAATTCTAAATCCGTCCCTGTAGATAAGGTGAGCGAGCAGGTGAATCTAAGCTAGTTGTTCTCGACCCCATCTCTCCATCTGCTCCATAATCCTTTCACATACTCATTAAAATAAGATTGATTTATGTAGTAAAATTAAAATTAAGATTTTAAAGATGAGCAAACTTATATGATCCGCGGCG